CGTAATATCAATATTCTATCAAATCAAATTAATTCCATAAATCTCATGTAAAACAACTTATTGTTACAAAATTGCATTAAACTCTGAGATAGATGTGAGTTAGATTAAATTTTATTTACAAAAAATGCTCGCAAACTTTGTTACCAGGTTTAAATCTCAGTCCGTTGTGTGTGTCTATAAGATTATTTAAAGAAAGTGACATTTATAGTATTAACAAAGAAACAACTCACATGTTTAATAAATACGAAGTAAAGTTAGTGCACAGCTTATGTTTCGTGACAGGAGACATTGCTTGCTTAGTGTAACGCCACATATTCACAACGGTAAAAGTGCTAAGTCGCTTAATTTATTTTTTATAAAAATTTTTAACCATTTTTACACTTCATATGGACCGTTTTTAGCCCCTTCTTGGCTATTTCTTGCACTCTCAAGCACATGCAATATAATGAAGGATGACTAATATACACAAGTATGCGTGTGAGTATTTTTGAAGAGATTCCAATACTTGTTCGTTTCCAATACTTGATTTTCCGCTGCTGAACGACAACGTATGCACAATTTGAGTGGATTGTTCGTTTTCAATACTCGTTTTTCAGCTGATGAATGAGAACACGTTAATATGTTTCTCTTTTATTCAATTTCGTTCAATACGGAAAGGCACACATTTACAACAGTCATTTAAAACAGTCATTTACTTATCATTCATTAATTACCACATCAATTTCAAATTAAACGTTCGAAAAATCATCATTATAATATTTTTTTAATATTTTATATGACAAATTTTATATCACAAATAAATGAAAATAGAATTCGTACAATAGGATTACTCCGATATTTACGCCGCGCGAAGATACGTCGCAAAAGGAATAGAAGAAGTGAGAATAATTTACATACAACTAGTCTATTATATGCTTTTATGTTATTTATTGATATTATGATTTTTTACTGTTAATATTAATAAAACTCTTGTCAATTGAATCGATTCATCAATATCATAAATAGCGCCATGTATTATAACCCACATAAAAATGATCACTGTAAGGAAAGCAAAAAGTTTAATGATTATTTGATGATATATAAATGTATATATAGGGATGATAAAGAATGAAGCAAAATGTATGTGCTTAGCTCCATGCTTTGTTTAACTTGCATATCCTACCTCGAACTACCTGTTTGGAATATACGGATATTATTTACGGATATATAGCGGACAGGATTTATACCCAAAGCACACAGAATAAACGGATTAGATTTATTATATTAAATTCAATAAATGCATTACATAAAATATATATGTACGTACCTCATATCATAAGCATGAGAGTGGTTCGCTTTTCTCATTTTTTTAGACTTCTTTTCCTCATTTTTTTCTATAAAAAATCTTACTTTTCTCAGTTTTTTCTTTTAGAAATAAATATCTAAAACCGAAGAAAAAATAAGAAACTTATTTTTTATGTATCTTAGCATTGAGACTATCATGTCTTCTGGTAATACTTGTACACTAACAATGAGGTTAATGACAGGCTTAAATAAAGTAAAGCAGCTGAATGTGATTGCTTCTAAAAGCAAGAACCAATCACACTTGATTATTAGGCGTTCAGTGAGTGAGTGTTGTATTGATTGCATCTATAGATTTGTTCGTATTGCTTGAAATTTCCATAAATTTTTGCACTTAAAATGAGATAAATATATAGGCTATGTACGTAACGTATAGATTTTTAGCGCTTGGAATATATCCATAGACGAGAGAAAAAAGTGCAAGCAACGAACTTTGTGATTCGATGAATTGTAATATCTTAGCGCAATAAACCATTCATTACAGTCTGTGATTAATCGGGATGTAAACAAACTGGATATTGCTCTATGATAAAATTACAAGCAATTGCGAGTTTCTTAAATGTTAAATTTTAAATAATAATATTTATATTTTTGTTATTATCAGCAATGTTAAATACTATACACTAATAGAAAATTAATTCTGAGGAGAAAATCCAAAATGAACTATTTATGCAGAATAGTTACTGAGAATTGATGCGCTTAATTATCGAATTGAATTATAGGGAGAAAAGATTGAATCTACAATTATTCTGAGAAATCGGCATGTGTCGCATTGTGCAGCTAAAGGATCCTATTTCTCAACATAATTTCTGCGAAGCATAAACAGGACGTGGATATTAAATTTAATACTATATAGTCAATTGCATCTTGATTTGATATTACATGCAGTATTACCAAAAACTGATAAGCTTCAAGAGCCAAGTATTCAATCAATTTCACTTGGCAGTGTTTCAAATTTTTTCTGTGTCTCAACCGGCTCGACACAGTTTACAAAATGGAGTCTGTATACACGAGAAAAAGAAATTGTTACAGAATTACTTGGATTAAAATGAAATATATTTTGAGTAACTATTTTTCATCATTATGCGAAATTAAAAATTTGTTTAGTCGAGTTGGATAAAATTCATGGATTCACATACAAAATGTGTATTTCTAAAAAGTGACTATGTTGAAAAGTAAAACTGATTTTTTTAAAATACATTTTACTTATTTTTTTATCAAACTTTTCAAAGTATCCATGTATATATGTATATTGAAATATTATATTAGATATTGTCCGTTAAAGAAACTTATTTGAGAAAGATTTTAAACATTAAAAAAAAAATCAAACGTTTTAACATTTTAAATCGGAAGGCATATAACAATATTCACTCACTTATTGGGCGTTCCGCATCACAGTTCAAGATACAATAACTAGTCCGACATGAATGCGATTTCGAATCGGCGGCACCCCTACCCATCCATCGGACTCGCTGTTCTCGGACGCTACTAAATATAACGTCCAGCCAGTCGCTCGTTGGTCTAGTGCCAGGTTTCCGAAGACCGTCGTCGATTTCCAAATCAACGGAGCAGTTCCCTCTGTTACGAAGTCATTAGAATCAGCACGTATTCACTGTTTGCTTATCGTTTTTCGATTCTTTGCTAACGTGTTTTTCTAGAACGATCGCCTTCTTGTTAAGTCGATCGTTCAAGTTCAGACGGAAATTACAGATTTTGGTGTAAACAATAATCGATAGAACCGAATGTTCATAGAGAAAATGGTCATCACGAAGGAAGAATGTGAGTAACGACAATCCGTGAGAACGATGATTATTTGACACATGTGTATATCTCGCGCTGTATGAATGCAAGAAGGAAGTCTAAGGCTCGGTAGTGATGAATACAGAAGTGAATAAGCCATAAAAAGAAAATAATATTAACAGACAGAACATTAACATGTGTGATTAGGTGCAAAAAAAGATTAATTGAAGAGATTAATAGACGTTAAGAGATAAAAAAAGGAATAATTTTGTGTCTAAATATATACAAGTCTATATGTTGAATTATATCTGACATAAGATTATTTTGCATGTCATCTATAACTTTCTGTATATTTTACATCATATCTTGGTTTTGTGCATGTTGCGAAACTTGTTGAATAAGAAATTTGAGAATCTCTGCACATACATTACGTTATGTAGTCTTACGTATATTTTGTTTAATTCCATTATTGTTTTTGATGAATTATTTTGGCAAGAATCCAATTATCAATTGACATAAAGAAGCAATTAATAATTCAAGTTAAGATTTGAAAAGCTGATTAATGTTACGATTCTCTGAGAGGAATCCATTAATAGATAGCTCGGAAATTGCCAATATTCCGTTAATATCTTATTTTAAGGTCGCAAAACGCGATCTTAAGTTTCTTTATCAGTTCTCTTTTCTATATGTATGTAAAAAAAAGCGGGCGATTTCTCATAAACATGTAGATTAAACGAAAAATGACCCCTACAAATTTCGAAATTTTTTTTATAATAGATCTTTATAATAGGTCCAAGATATTCGAAGTTAAGATTTGAAAAACGTTTTTTTTAAAATAACTTATACTGTTCTGTCGATAATTTATGATTATTTTTACGTTGGTAAACATTTTTTTAATACGTAAACGAATGTAAATTAATCTAATCGTAATTCAAGATAAATTTTTACGAGGGAGGGTTGTTACTATGAAAGTAAAGTTACTTGTAATTAATTATGATTATTTATGAAAAGTCACAAAAATCTAATCCATGTGCCAAATTAACTGGAAAAGAAAAATTATCAAATGAGTAAAAAATGCACAACCGCAGTTCTAGTATTAAATGATCTTGTATTACATTAGAGAACCAGAGACGTTTTACTTATGAACTTCTTAATCATCAAAACTTTGAAGTTGATAGGTATTTTTAATTTCCGATTTTTATACTAAAAAGAATATTTTTAGATTTTGAAAAAACTAATCGTTTAAAAAAAAACATTGGAGTAGTAAAAGTAAATTTATTTTATTTTATTTAAACAAGTGAAGTATATGTTTAATAAATAATTTCGCATAACACAAGATTTAATTGATTGTATAATATTTATGAAAACAAAAGAGATTTAGTTGAAATTACAAATATATTCAATATGACTTCCTCTTATTTTAATAAATTCCTGTATTTAACGAACCGAAGAATACAACACTGACTATAATATTTCAGTATATTATAGTAGATTTCTATAGTAATTAAACATTTAGTATGTTAATTATATAATGTAGGTGTATAGATCAATACTACTCGCCAAA